TAATAATAATAATAATAATAATAATAATAATAATAATAATATAATAATAATAATAATAATAATAATAATAATAATAATAATATAATAATAATAATAATAATAATAATAATAATAATAATAATAATAATAATAATAATAATAATATAATAATAATAATAATAATAATAATAATAATAATAATAATAATAATAATAATAATAATAATAATAATAATAATAATAATAATAATAATAATAATAATATAATAATAATAATAATAATAATAATAATAATAATAATAATAATAATAATAATAATAATAATAATAATAATAATAATAATAATAATAATAATAATAATAATAATAATAATAATAATATAATAATAATAATAATAATAATAATAATAATAATAATTAATAATAATAATAATAATAATAATAATAATAATAATAATAATAATAATAATAATAATAATAATAATAATAATAATATAATAATAATAATAATAATAATAATAATAATAATAATAATAATAATAATAATAATAATAATAATAATAATAATAATAATAATAATAATAATAATAATAATAATAATAATAATAATAATAATAATAATAATAATAATAATAATAATAATAATAATAATAATAATAATAATAATAATAATAATAATAATAATAATAATAATAATAATATAATAATAATAATAATAATAATAATAATAATAATAATAATAATAATAATAATAATAATAATAATAATAATAATAATAATAATAATAATAATAATAATAATAATAATAATAATAATAATAATAATAATAATAATAATAATAATAATAATAATAATAATAATAATAATAATAATAATAATAATAATAATAATAATAATAATAATAATAATATAATAATAATATAATAATAATAATAATAATAATAATAATAATAATAATAATAATAATAATAATAATAATAATAATAATAATAATAATAATAATAATAATAATAATAATAATAATAATAATAATAATAATAATAATAATAATAATAATAATAATAATAATAATAATAATAATAATAATAATAATAATAATAATAATAATAATAATAATAATAATAATAATAATAATAATAATAATAATAATAATAATAATAATAATAATAATAATAATAATAATAATAATAATAATAATAATAATAATATAATAATAATATAATAATAATAATAATAATAATAATAATAATAATAATAATAATAATAATAATAATAATAATAATAATAATAATAATAATAATAATAATAATAATAATAATAATAATAATAATAATAATAATAATAATAATAATAATAATAATAATAATAATAATAATAATAATAATAATAATAATAATAATATAATAATAATAATAATAATAATAGTAATAATAATAATAATAATAATAATAATAATAATAATAATAATAATAATAATTAATTATATGTATATTTGGCCCGTTTACGACGGGCCAAATATACATTTTTGTGTATATAAAGAGAAATAATCAACCGATTTCATTGAAATTTAATATACGAACTCCTCGTATTAAAACAATGAACATATAAATTTTTTGGAAAGATCGAAAACGGATTTGCGGGCCGATTTTACATTTTTCACCATTTTGAAGAAAGTATTCAACCGATTTACGACGGGCCAAATATACATTTTTGTGTATATAAAGAGAAATAATCAACCGATTTCATTGAAATTTAATATACGAACTCCTCGTATTAAAACAATGAACATATAAATTTTTTGGAAAGATCGAAAACGGATTTGCGGGCCGATTTTACATTTTTCACCATTTTGAAGAAAGTATTCAACCGATTTACTTGAAATTTCATATATAAGCTTTGCTCTATCATACGCAAAAATTCCTAACTTTTGGAAGAAATCAGGCGTCAGCAACTGGGCGTTTACTACGGTCCAAATATACATTTTTGTGTATATAAAGAGAAATAATCAACCGATTTCATTGAAATTTAATATATGAATTCCCCGTATTAAAACAATGAACATGTAAATTTTTTGGAAAGATCAGGCATCGGCAACTAGACGTTTACTACGGGCCAAACATACACTTTTGTGTATATAAAGAGAAATAATCAACCGATTTCATTGAAATTTAATATATGAATTCCTCATATTAAAGCAATGAACATATAACTTTTTTGGAAAGATCAGGGCTCGAGAACTGTTTTGCGGGCCGATTTTACATTTTTCACTATATCCACAGAACAAATTGATGGAATTTCTTGAAATTTGATATTTGAGTTCTGGTTGTTACCGAAACTAACTGGCGAGCATTTCAGGGAATTCGGGTAGCACAAAGCGAAACTCTACTAAGAGCTAAATTTACATTTCTCTAAGTATGTTAACTATAAGCTTACTAATGCCCTAAAAATTGGAAAGAAGTATTTAACAGACATTTTTATAATATTCTGTAACACTTTCATTTAACTAGACAATACACAATGCGGTCGGTTATGTGCTGACCACATCAGATTTTTAACTATTTGTTGGAATGAAACCATAAGCATTTTTGAAATTTTGCAAACGTAGAAAGGCAGCGGCTTGCTTCCCCTAGCGCAATATACCATAGGTAAACTTAAGAAAAATAAGATGGTTGTTCAAATTTGCCGTTATCTAAAGTCATTTTTTTCAAATTTTTGATGTTGTTTTTCTTCTAGACCTCAGCTTGTAGCAGCTTGAAATTTTACAGGCTTTTAGACATTAACAAACAGTTTATTTCGTTAGAAGAAAATGTTTTCCATCTCCATGTAAGTTTATTTCGACCATGGCACGGATTGATCAACTCTTGGAATATATCAGGCCTCGGTAAGTGCACTCTTTAGCTTGCCTGTTTTACATTTTTCACCATTTTGAAGAAAATATTCAACCGTTTTACTTGAAATTTCATAATAACCTTCGCTCAACCGTCCGCGAAACCTCCTAACTTTTGGAAGAAATTAGGTGTCAACAACTGGGAGTTTACTACGGGCCAAATATACATTTTTGCGTATATAAAGAAAAATAATTAGCAGATTTCATTGAAATTTAATTGAAAACAATGAACATATAAATTGGGAAAGACCAGGTTTCAAGCAAGCTTACTAACGTCCTAAAAAGTGGAAGGAAGTATTTAGGTATAATTAGAAAGAAGTCGGTTAACAAAATAATTTTGTGTGTGTACATACAACCTATATATGTATGTTTACACAATTTTACTTGTAGGCGTACATATTCATAGAAAATATAAAAAAATATATACAGTCGCACATCGCATGATTTGTATGTTTACGCATAATTATACTTGCACTTTATTGGAATTTGTAATTTTTTTTATTGTTCTTCTTCATTCTATTCTCCTCTTGTACGCATAATGTAAATTGTTGTTGTATTTTATTATTTTTTTATTCCAGTTTAAAATATTCTGTTTCTTTGCTAACCCTTGTATGTCATATACCATTGTAATTCGAATTATATGTGTGTGTATGATCATGTTGGTGTTAGACAGTAATGAATTGTATGAAATATTATGTGGAATTCTGTGTAGGGTTAAATGTCGGATCATGTAAATTTTTTTTGTCATTCCCTGGCAACCCATAGTTAATTATGTGTTTTACCACAAAAACCTCCTTCTTTTATTCGGGTACTAGTCCCCTTACACCAACCATCAAATTTTCTTTAATATAGATTGAAAGAGATTCAACGCTCCCCGATTTGTTGAAGCGCATCTCTGTGCAAATCTCCATTTGGCTCATCCCAAAAATCTAACAAAAATTTCTTAAAACTCTCACACTCGAATACTCTCATAATTTTTTTTTCTTTTTTTAGCACTTTTCCAAAAGAATTTTGAAAAAATGTGCTTATTAGTTTCACTCTGTCCATCCGTCCGTTCGGCCTTCTGTCTGTGTGTCTGTTCACAAAACTTCTACATCCTTGAAGGCAGAAACGTGAAATTTTATATGCACATAGATCTCTACTAGAAACAAATTTTCGTAGAACATAATTTTTACCTATCTACCCTTCCCTAAAAGTTATACCCCCCCCCCGAAACCGTAAAGATTCCATTTTTTCACTATTTACTGTAGTAGAACCATATGCGTTTTTCAAATTTTACAAACGCAGAGAACTAGTAGATGGTTGCTTCTTCTATCACGGCATACTATTATTTTTTCAAATTTTTAATGTTTTTTTTTTCTTTTAGACCCCAGGTTGTAGGAGCCTGGAATTTATGGAAGCTTTTAGACACTAATTTTGTGAAATTTGTAAAATTTGCCGTCTTATATTTCCAGAACCGCCAGTTTTCTAAATGTCTATAAACCCAAAAAACTAACGGTATATTCCGTAACATTAAAAAAATATAATTATTTTTCTTATCCCGCACAATTAACTATTAAAATCGAGCATTATGTTAACATCTCTTTAAATTAATTTTTGCTTTATTTCAAAGACTGAATAGATCGTTCATCCTAAATATATGCAATCCTAGAAATAGTTTTGTATATGAATGAAAATAATTTTAATAGTGTGATAGGAATACATAGAGTGTATTTAAAGCAGTATTTTCACTAATATTGTTGAAGGGAAAAGTGCTACTATACAAACCATTGGTTTGACCCAAATTTATTTACGTAAAAAAAAGAAAAAAATAATAAGAAATATGACACGATCAGTGGCATTTAAAGAAAAAAACAGGAACGAAGCCAAAAATTCGTAATATTTCGTAAAAAAAATTGAGTATTGGGACTTGTTTGATATAAAGACATTAGTACAAGTATACATAATATGTTTCTAAATATACATAATATGTTACAACACAATTAAATTTTCTAAAGTTAGTATTACTTGAGTTTGCCTTACATTTTCTTCAACATTTATTACATTTATACACAAAAAGTTGAATATTGTATAAATATACAATAGTTAGTAGAAGATTTTTAATCATTCAATTTTTCTGTTGTTTATTTTAGATGAAGAAAACCCCAATTTTGACAAGTCTTCTTTTGGAAAGCTACTCATATTTTTTATCATGGTTTTTGGTAGTCGTAACGATGCCACTTAGTTTATTTATTTGTTTTAAGGTAAGAATTCCTCTTCCAAATAAATTATTTTATACGCTCATTTATTTTTAGGTTTTAATATTATTCATATATGTATAATCAATAAGGAAATATTATAATATATATAGACACTAACATAATATACAGAATTATTATATTTGTACACAACTCAGCTAAATGTTTATATATGAAAATAAATATGGAAATCAGTTCTACTCATACATTCTATTCAAATCTTCATAGGAAATACAAATATATATATTTCTTATCCAGAGAAGTGGTTAGAGTAAATTATAAATTATTTGAAAAATTAATTTTTCATTAGATATAATATGAAATAGCGAATATCGAATGATATTTTGAGTTTACATCATGTCTATATCGAGTGCATCCAGAGTCGAATTAGCTTTTGCGATCTGAACAGTATACAGGCTGTTCGCGACTCGATGGTATTCCCGAAGCAGGGTGATAGAAAAAACACTAGTGACATTTTTCGTTTTGCGCCCTTGTTCTCGAGTTATGGGGCCTCAAAGTTAGAAACCCGTCTGATTTTCACATTTTTATTTACAACTCGGGAAATGTGACAGGTAAATCTAACTTTGTAGAGCCACTATAAAGCTAATAAAATCATCATTCTAAAGGTACACCAGCGGTTGCAAAATTTTTTTTAATTTCAGAGATATTCAAGTGTCAGTCAAAATTTGTTAAATTTTTTTTTTTCTAAATTTTTATTTAACCGTCATTTACTCATAATTCCACATTATAAACCTATCGTTTCTTTTATAGGAAGAGGAGGGACAATGTGGGAAAAATTTTAGAAATAACATATCTATCAGGCGAAAACTGAGCTGAAAACCTAAGCTCTCTAAAACAGAGAATTTTTTAAACAAAAACAAATTTCTTTATTATGCATTATTAACATTTACTTTTTTTTCCAAAGTTAAAGACATTTGCATTACCTTTATTTCTCTACAAAATATTTCCAAAAGTTTCAGGAATATCGTATCTACGAGGGAAATTTAGAATCGAATTTAAAAAAAAAGCCAATTAATTATAATTCAAGTAATGTTCACAATTCAACCTTCTGTGTATTTTGTTATTGTTCGAAAAATTAAATAAATGATCTTGACGTATAGGTACTATGGAAAAGTTTCATTTTCTTATTACTTATACATATGTACTGTTGGTTTTAAATAAAATTTGTCAACGATTGTATAATAAATGTAATTAAATAAATTTTGTCATTTAACGTATTAATATTTTTTTATTCGCCTATTTACATATATTACCAAAGTTAAAACCCATGCATAAAATTTGTACTATATAATATTCATACATATTATAACATATATTATGTCTTACATATATTATATCATATATATTATGTACATATATTATCTTATTCTCATCCTTTTCATGAAATTTTTGACGAATATGAATCTTGGTATTATTCGCTAAACCTAAATTTTAAACGAATGAACTGCCAAATCCGTCGAATGAAAATTTTGTGTGACAAGCTTAGCGAATGAAACCAAACACCAAAAGAGTACATAAGTGTTTTTACCGACCGTATTGTGTATACAATAGGTAGGATATGTGATGGCAACAAATTTCGCATATCGAGTTTTCGATGGGAATTCACTTCTCCATAGTAGAGAAGTGTAAATAAACTATTTTTAGCAACTTTTGGGATATATCAGGCCTCGGGAACTGCACTTTTTAGCGGGCCTGTTTCACATTTTTGAACATTTTGAAGAAAGTATTCAATCGATTTATTTGAAATTTCATATATAATCTTTTCGTCCGCAAAAATTCCTAACTTTTGGCAGAAATCAGGCATCAGCAACTGGACGTTTACTACGGGCCAAATATACATTTTTGTGTAAATAAAGAGAAATAATTGACCGATTTCATTGAAATTTAATATTACAATTCCTTGTATTAAAACAATGAACATATAAATTTTTTGGAAAGACAAGGGCTCGAAAACTGATTTGCGAGCCGATTTTACATTTTTCACCATATCTACGGAACGAATTGATGGAATTTCTTGAAATTTAATATTCGAGTTCTGGTTAACTGGCGAGCATTTCTGGGAATTTAGGTAGCACAAAGCGAAACTATACTAAGAGCTAAATTTACATTTTTCAAGGTATGTTAACTATAAGCTTACTAATGTCCTAAAAATTGGAAAGAAGTATTTAAAAGACATTTTTATAACATTCTGTAACCCTTTCACTTAACTAGACAATATACAATGCGGTCGGTTATGTGCTGATCACATCAGATCTTTTTTGTTTGGTTTTTTGATATCTTGCGGTTGCAACTAGTCAATTCGGCTCTCCTAGCAATTATTATAATGGCTTTGCTGATTATTATAAGGATATTAAAGAGAAAAATACATTGTTTTCCACTTTTTATTTGGCAGTCAGTCAGACAAAATATTACTAATTCTAAGTAATATTTTGCAATATTCAAAATTTTAAATAAATCTCTTTGAAAATTTTCTCCCCTTTGGTTTTTAAAAATAATTGCAACTTTGCAAAATCACGATAATTTTTCACTAATTTTAGCCCGCTTTAAAAATCATGTTATTTGTGACAAAAATAGCGCTATTTAACATATCAAATGAATTTAAAGTTTTAAGAAACATTTATAAGTTTTAAAAAATTCTAAATTTTATTCAAAATAGTCTGGATAATTAAAAGACAACATATCGGGTAAATTGCATAAACTGTCCAAGTCCCGAAATATATCTTTCTAAGATTTCTTTTTCTAAGATGAAAATGAGGATCCAGGCCCCAAAATAGGCCTTAAGAAGTGAAAATTGAAGATTCATAAATATAGTCAAGTGAGGTACTGTTGAAAAGGTTTCGGCATGCTCTAGAAATTTTGTTCGACGAACTCGTGAAAATCCATTCTGCTAGGGTGTCAAGTCCCAAAATAGGTTCTAAAAAGGCAAAAAATGAATGTTTGTAAATATTGTCAAGTGGGACACTTGAAATAAGTCCTTAAAAGACAAAAAAAAATAATAATAATATTTGTCATGCGGAATATTGTTGAAAAAGTGTTGGAAAGTTTTTTTTTTTTGAAAAATCGGATCCCCGGTCCTGAGAAAGGTTCCGGAAAAGCCTTGAAACAAAACATATACATTCTAGTTTTGTGTCATTTTGTAAGGAAGTTTTCAAAAAGTCCGCGAAACCTTAAGTCTTGTAGAAATTCCGCAAAAGGTCTGAAGCAAAGAATATCGAAATATAGTTATGTAGAAAAAGTCTTAGAAAAAAAAGTTTGTTGGAAACTTTTTTAAAAAGTGTTCACTTGCGAAGCCTGGTCTCGTAAGAAATCCCATGTACTAAAATTAGTGTAAACTTAGAATTGAACTCTTTAAACCTAGACATATGTCAGATTGAGCAAAGTTTAATTTCTGAACGAACAAAGAGTAGAAGAATTTGATTGCCTCCAACTTACAGGTAAGAAACCATACAATAAAGACGCCATCGTAAAGACGATGGAATGCGGAATCGTTAACCTCCTCCTTTCTTCTTTTTTCAATTTTGTTGGACTCCTAACTTTCTTCTTTTTTCAAATCTTTGTCTGTGTTTGTGTCAAAAATCAAACTTAATTGAAAATGTAGGACATGTGACACACGCTAATTTCAAAAATGAAAAGATTTCGAAATAATATAGAACAAAAAAATTTTTTACAAAAAACCACGTCTTTCTGGAGAACTAAAAAAAAGAAAATAATTTTTTTTGAAGTTTAGTATGGATTAGACTATATAAATCAAATACTTTCTTCTCATCATAAATTTAAATATTTTAAAACTGAAAATGTGGCGCGTCAATAATAATTAAAATGTGTAGAGAATTTAAATGTTATACATATATTCAGTTGAAACAAAACAAAGTTCTCATCAAAACACCAACCACGTTTTAAGATATTCTCTCTTTTAAAATATTTCAATTTATCCTCCAGTGGGTTGGAGAGTAAAAATATCCACGTCAGGAATTCTTGATGTACAATTCTACTAAAATCATAACAAAGGGTAGTCGCGTCTGATCCAGGATGAGGGACTTCTTGGTCAGCGTCTGATTACAGAGGAGCGGCAGTAGCCTTTTGGACGAGTGTGAACTAAGATTTAATTTCGGGGCGCATCTTACGGTTTTCGAGGCGGAGGTCTTTGCGTTGGGCCTTTGTATACATGAAAGCATTCGTAGTAGATATGTGAACAAGACCACCAACATATTCTCGGATAGTCATGTGGCGATCCAAGCGAAGTCGGGAGCGATGGAAGACTTTGTCGGACATCTTTCATTGCTTTCAGAGCATTTATCAGGAGGCGATTGGTTCACTAGGGCAGATATGTGGTGGCAACCTCGGATTTGTGGGAAGGTTCGCTTCGGCGAATCTGTAATTTTGTGGGAGTTATAGGCCTGACTGGCGCTTTATAGGTGGTTGGATGTTGCAATAAGTTGAGGGTGTAGGAACCTGGTCTAAGGTTGACCTCTGTCAATCTCCAATCTAATCTAATCTATACATGCTGTTCCAAACGAGCTTTATGCTTTGTAGCACAACTCCTAATTTCATCTACAACCAAAGAAATTCCTAAGTCCCTGTAGATGTCACAGTTACGAATGTACCATGGCACATTTACCATGCCCCGTAAAACTTTATTCTAGAAGGTTTTGAATTTTGTTAATGGGAGTCTTCTTGGGACAACCCCAGAGTTGAATGCTATATAGCCATATTGGTTTAATGATTTGGCTATAAAACAATAGTTTATTATCAATTTCCAAATTTGACTTACGACCGATGAGCCCATAATTTTCTTTATATTTACTTTCTAATTCAGTGTGTTTCTCCCTTATATCCTCTTTCCAATTTAGCTTGACGTCTAAAGCCATTCGTAGGGATTCTGCATAGGGCAGTTATGGATCGCTACCTTCGCTTAAGTTAATTTGTGGTGAATTGACTTTTTTCCGATTGGTGAAGTTTATGTGAACCGATTTTGCTTAATTTAA